GGGGGTGGGACCACGCCCTTATTTACAACTAAGACAGGGGTGATCGGGAGGTTCAGTCTCCCCTCCCTTTCCCGCCCAGAGCAGGGGTTTATCTGGGAGTTTTGGCCCTGCCCCCCTGTCACTACAGAGGCAGGCCCATCAGGGGGGGTTTGGGGCTCCGTTCCCTTTCACGCAACAGAGTAGGGCCCGACCAGGGGGGTTGGGCCCCCCCCCATTATCACCCACAGAGCAGGGCAGATCAGGGGGTTGAGGAGCTCCCCCCTGTCACGCACAGAGTTGGGGCACCACTCCCTGTCACACACAGAGCAGGGCGGATCAGGGGGTTGGGGCACCGCTCTCTATCACCCACAGAGCAGGGCCGATCAGGGGGTTGGGGTGCCACAACTGTCACACTCAGGGCAGGGCCGATGGGGAGGTTATGGCTCTTTCCCGTCACACACAGAGCAGGGCCCTTGGGGGGGTGGGTTGGGGCACCGTACCCTGTCACACAGAGCCGCAGGGGCGATCAGGGGGTTGAGGAGCTCCCCCCTATCAGGCACAGAACAGGGCTGATCAGGGGGTTGGGGCGCCTTCCCCTGTCACGAACAAAGCAGGGCAGATAGGGAGATTGTGGCCCCTCCCCCTGTCACACACAGAGCTGCAGGGCTATCAGGGGGTTTGGTCGCTGCCCCCTGTCACGCTGATCCCAGTGCCGGGAGGCCTCTCGGCTCCGCTGATCCCAGTGCTGGGAGGCATATTACCCTTTTACTATATAGGATAGAGGCCTGGTGCACGGGTGGGGGCCAGCTGGTTTGCCCTGAAGGTGTCCTGGATCAGGGTGGGGGTCCCCACTGGGGTGCCTGGCCAGCCTGGGTGAGGGGCTGATGGCTGTTTGCAGCTGGTCACACCCCCTTCGGGGTGGGGGTCCCACTGGGTGCCTGCCAGTCTGGGTGAGGGCTGAGGCGTTTCAGGCTGGCGGGTGACTGACCTCCACGCTCTTTTTTCTTTTTTTTTTTATCTGGCAGCTTAGCTCTGAGGCTTG